GAGAATAACTAGCCCACAAAAGCAGCAGAAGTTTAACTGTTTCATGCACAATCTGACGTTTGTTATTAAAGAATTACCTCTGCAATGTCAAGGAGATGCAGCGTAGTCTGTAGAACAGCTGGTGCAACACTGGTATACYGTGAAACAACAGAAATTTGGATACAGTCCTAAAGGTCTCCAAAGCTTCAGAATATGTGGGTTCTTTCTGACCAGACTTGGGCTTAGGACTCTGGTTTTAAATAGCACATGTGGGACAGAGAGCAGAGACCTTGTGTGAGAAGAGTAAATCTTTCTCTCTTTATAGGACTTAGAATTTTTTGTTCACTTGCAGAAGAAAGGGCTGTGTGGCACCCTGTATCTCATCTAATGCCTTCCTTTGGATCCACGACATTTCACTTGTTGCTTATGCTGCTCTTCAGAAAATGGAGACTCCACAACCTTCTCCGGGTGGTGTATTTCTGTGCTTCCACTACTTGCAGCATTTGAACAAGGTCTTACTGCATTTGAAGTGTGCTGATCTATCTCTAGAACATATATAGAGTTTTATTACTTTTATTTTATTGTCTTTCACATGTGAGAAGGACGCCCCCACCCCCAATCTTTTCTTATCCTGTCTAGACTGCATAAACTGGAATTAAAAAATATTTTTTTGAGCAGGCTGGACACTGATCCTGAGAGGCCGTTTTGCTCTCTGGCTCATAGAGAGACCCCGTTCTGGGGAAAATACAGACTAAATGGCATTTATTCACTATTAAGTGGATTGAATTACCACATGCACTGGAGAAGATCCAGCACTAGTTTTTGGCATCTCTACAGGTTCCTATAGCTCTGGCCGCCTCTTCTGTCTTGGTAGGGATGTACTGGTACATTTTACACTGGGAAGATTACACTGGATGCCCACCTATTTGTCAAGTGACCTGCATTTTRTCTCCTGGTGCTCTGGAACCTGGAGGATCAGGCGGTCTCCCAGTGAATAGTCCCTTGGTACCTGCAGTTAAAGAGGAGCTGAACCCACTTTCTACACACCAGGGCTTCTGCCCATACTGTGGCACACCAAGTGCTCGTGACCATGTACAGCTGTGCACCTAGTACAAGCGCAGACCCTCGGCTCTGGGCTCTCTTTCTGCAGCTCCCAACTTTTTTGGACTGCTTCTCCATCGTGTGCTCATTCTTTCATCATGTGCTCCTGCAGTCTCTCTGCATCAGAGCTCCATAGGGCTCCCATATATAGTCACATATGGAAGAGCTGCTGTGACAGAACAATTTTAAACATGAGAAGAGTCAGATTTATTTATTTCCTCTGACTGCAACTTTTGCCTTCCGGGCAAGCACTGGGGAGCTGCCGTGTAAGCAGTTACCAGTTGAACTCAAGAGCCAAACTTCTGCAGCTGGAGTTATAAACAGCTCCTTATCTTTGTGCTAGACACAGAGGGTGACTTATTTCACATTTTCACCACCTTGTTGTAAAATAGTTTTAAAAACTGCAAATGAATGACAAAAAGATGGGCAGAAACAGTTCAAAAAATTTTGCTTCTAAAGCTTCTGCTAAAATCAGTCTTTCCCCAAAATGGTCATCTTGGCTTTTTACTTGCATGCAGGCTTAGTGCCAAGTGGAGTTTAATAGCAGGTACATAATATCCTGCTGCTTCAGGGTTCTTTCTTAAACAAAAAAAAACAAAAAAAACAAACAAACAAACAAAAAAATCTGCACCTCTTCTCCTTTTTCTTGCTCTTTAGAAGACTCACATCTATGAATAGAAAAAATCCTGAGTTTTGCTATATCCTGCTAATTTGTTGTGGTTAAAAATGGCCTTACCCTTTTCTGGGATGCTGTACTTTTTTGCTGCATTTTCACTTTTTTTTCTTTCTTCCTCTTTTTTTTTTTTTTTTTTTTAATGTGAGAAATGAACGTTCCAGACCTCCCAGAGAATTTTGCAGTTATTTTCCTACTGTTGCAGCTAAGTGGGTGCCGTTCTGCATATTGAAGATGACCAAAAGTCAAAAACTACCCCCACTCTGCCTGATGGGAATACATCTGCAGCACACACTGAAAGCTAATTTTAGGGAACAATATTTCTCATTAAAATCCCAATATATAAATATTTTAATTCTCAGCATCTTTTTCTCACATAAGTTAATGTTAACTTGACATTTATARATTGTGCATGTGTGTTTTGGGGGTAAGAGACAGAGATGGGAAAGAATTTTGGGGGTGTCTCCTGTCCCTGATGGAATTAGCTGTTGATTAGTGGAGGGCGAGCATAGACTATAGATCTTTTCAGATGGACTGTCCTCTTGTCTTGGTTTGGCACATTGAATTTAGAGGTTTTTTTAAATTCCAGTGGTGTTAGTACAGAATGCAAGTTTAGTTGTACAATGTGCTGGTGATTTTTTTTTTTTATTTGCAGACATCCTTTCCTCTTAACTAAGACCTTAGACAAGCTTGGTTCTGCTACATGACCAGGTTATGAGAAATGAGAATATGAGTGTTCTTTTCATGTGAGGAATTGCTTTTATATGTGACAGAAGYGCACAAAAGCTCAGCACCTTGCACATAAAGCCTGTTTTGTATTCAGCTGCCTCCTGCTGCCGCTTCAAATCAGGGAATAATTGCATTAAGAATAGTTGAATCAACAACAGGCTCCATCTGAATGTGTTTGCCTGTAAAGCTCTCTTTGCACAGACATGCAGTCCAGTTTATTTCGGTGACTCAATGATCAAAGGCACAATACAAAGATCCAGTGTTGCTGTGTGCTGCAGAGGAAGGCTGGAAGTAATTTGGGTCAACTAAAGTTAGAAACCGTCCCCCACCTCATAAGACAGATGTGAGCTTTGAAGTCAGGGAGATTATCAGCAAGACAATCCAATAGAACCAGTTTACCCCAAACCAGTTTCTAGTTTGTTGGCTTCATGCTTGCGTAGGAATCGCGTTACTGGGTCAGGATGAGAGCCTGCCCTCTCCCATAACCTGCCCTTGTCAGAGGTCAAAAAGAGATGTTAGAAAATGTAAAGCACTCGAGTGGCTTATGCTGCAGCGTGCTCCTGAGAAACAATCCTTCCTGATGCAAGGTGACCGACCTAGRCAGAAGTTCAGAAGGTTTTAGGGCCCTTATATATTTGTGCTGCATCCAGTGTGAGTAGAAAAACCACAGCTCTGTACACACATGACTTCAAGTCTACTTATCTTCTTTCATCTGAGTACTTCGTCTTCGGGGGCCATTAGATATAGGCGAGATAGGTTTTGCAGAAAGGGGACATAGCCAAGGCCATATGGTTGTCCTATGCAGCTGATCTGCCTAATGACTTCTGTTTACAGAATAAATGGCCTTTTATAAGGAAATCTTCGTCTCTGCCTTGTGCAATAGATGCTGGCTTATTTGGGAATGAGACACTGGTTGGTCCTTGTGTCCTCCTCCTTCTCCTCCCTGAGCATTTCGAAGGTCAGGGCTGTGGTTAAAGAGCGTGGCAGAGGCCAGGTCAAATCCATATCCCACCGAAACTGGAAAGAGCAGCTTTGATGAAGCCACTCCTAYGCACCTATGTGTGCTCACTACCTCTGTGTCTCTTTCTTTTATTTTTTTCCTGGATGTGAGAAGATATTTGGCTCAGTTCCTTTGTGCTGTTTTGATGAGTAACTCTACTATTGGGGAAATCCCTGACGCATATGCCTGGCTCTTCAGACAGTTCCCTACTGCAGACTTGTAGCTTCCAAGAGAGTCTATAACAACAACAGCAACACAGTCTATAATCCATGTTATCAGTGAAATAGGCCCTGCTCTAGATATACTGCTATCTTACCTTTCCAAATAGCCTCATGGCAACCCTTGGTTACACGTTTCAGCCTAATGAGTGGCTGCAATAGCTTGGTCTGTTTTTTCTCGGCAAGTATCTAATGTCGCAACACGCAGATATAAGGCAAGCAGAGGCTGAAGCAGAACCCACTGGGCAGAGCGCACCCATTCTGCAGTGCCCAGCCCAGCAAACATGTTGGTTCTGTTCCTGGTGGATTGACGTAGCTGGACCTAGGGTTAAATTACCTTCAAAGCTCTCTAATGACAGCTCAGGCAGTGATTTAGGCAGCCAGAGAACAGCTTGTGTAATAGAGACACATTGYTCCAGAACTTCTCCCTAGCTTTCTTCCTTCCATGTCTGGCAGGGATGTAGGGTGACATTGATCTAAGAGGTTACCTTGGCCTCTACAGGCAACTTTCCTTCCTTTCTTACCAAGTCATAGGGACAGTAGGGCATTACTTATGTAGTGCACTTACGTAGAGCATGCACTGATGCAMGCATTAACCATCTGCTTGTCTTCTGTTGAAGATCCTCCCAGTTCTTCTGAAGGTGGGACAGTGGATGATAAAATAAGGCCTCTTATGAGCAAAGAGCTTAGAAGAAAGGACTATATGGCAAATGTTGAAGCAAACTCTCTTGTATACCTGTGTATAATATTTAGGGGTAAAGTGACAGGAGATGGCATGCATGTGCTAGAGGTTTCCAAAGAAAAGATTTAAAGTCCCTCTCTCTCAAATCTGTCTCCAAAGACCAAGCCCTTATCTTGCTGATTGCCATTGTTGTCATCCTTGTTTTTCATTTGGAAATCATTAACCTGTCTGGCTTTAAATGCTTTCAAAAAATGAGCCCTAAGTTAACACTTCAACACAAATGCTCAAAGCAAAGAATGGAAACGGGTGGACAGGCTTAATACTGAATGATGCTGTTAATCAGAACTGTAATTTGAATACATATTGAAAGAACGTGGTACATCAGTAAACTCGACGAAGGCTTAGGGGTGGCAATTTGCAGGCTGTTAGGCTGTAAACTCCCACAGGTCTCTATTAGTTTGGGATTAAGCTCCACGTGTGAATAATCATCTAATTAATCTCCTCAGGCAGGGTGTTTTGAGACCTTCAGCTGTGTTCTTGTAGTAGGTGTAAAGTGTAAGTACGATGTGATGATGCTTCATTAATAGTTTGCTGCTCAGTTGGTTCCTTTTCCTGAGGCTGGCTCTGGAAGAGTGTGCTCAGGCTGTGCTTTACTGGCCCATGGGAATACAAAGCCAATGGTGATGAACGAGCTCTACAAGAAGCTTTTGGACTTCCTAAAATACCAACTTTCAGGGAAAGGTATCTAAAATGTTTCTTTGAAACTGTTCAGAATAAACTTTAGAAAACATATTCTCTTAAAATTGCTGACTGAAAGAAATAGTTGCTGGCTTTCTGATCTTGCACTTTCTTGCAACTTGCTGAATGTTTTTAAGACCTTTACAACTATGTAAGAAACAAATCAATATTAATATTCATATTGTAAGCAAATATCTGTTTWAAAGACACTGTACTCCATAAGGCTATGGATTTAATAGGTTTTTACAGTATTATCAATAGCAAAATATTGTGACATTGATCTGCAACTATAGGGAACAATCCAATTATTGTTTGATTGAGTAAAAGCAGTTAGTCAGCTTAGACTAAGAGGGAGTATAACTAGTTGAAAACATCTGACAGATTTACAAACAAATGAAACTCGTGTTTTCTTTTCTGTCTATACCAGCTGACTCATAGACCTTACCCTAGCTGGTGATTAAGGGTAATGAACAACAATTGAAAACATGGTGAAAGTGCAAAAAGCCCTTTGAAGCCTGTGATTAAGATAAGGATATCATGTGAATGGTGAGTTTGCTTTTGAAATGTGCACACTCATCTACCTGGTTGTCATTTAGATTGTACTTAACTGTTACAGTATATGCAAACTAGTCTTTGTTCTGTGCATGTTATTTTGTGTAGTTATTTCTTTAAAAAAAAGCATTCCAAAAGTGTACTGTTGCATCCAAAGTGCAAGAAACTACGTGTCTTTTAAAGAGATGGTAGATGTGACATAAAGCTTTGCTACCAGCTGTTCAAATTAAAGGAAAGCCTTAATCACAGTTTTTCTCAGAAATAATATATATTTCTGCTGAGCTCAAAATATTTTCTTAAAACCTTTTTCTAATTTTTGAAATCCTTTTTCTAATTTTTGAAATTGTATTGCATTTTGCTGATTATGTTCATGAGAGATGAAAAGATTCCAGCTACAACATTAAGTCTGAGTCTAAAGGACCCAAAGACATCTAGCTTCATGTTGGATGAGTAGCCAATACCTTATGGTCTAATTAATCTTTTAAGAAGTATTATATTCCCTTTGACTTCATTTGGATTGTTACTGACAAGATTAATGATATACACTAYTCAAATACTTTTGCTTTTAGTTAAAGGAACAAGAAGGTGGGCCGCCTTATATCTTTGCAGGGTATTGTTTTTGTTTTTAGGATAATGCTCCAGTGTTCTAGAAGAAAATGGACTGAATAGTGCTCTTGTGTTTTATAGTGGAGAAAAGATGACATGTTGGTACTGTGTGGGAACTAGCATAGTCTGAGTAATTTAACAGTGCAGGTCTTAGTCTGATACAGGTGCTCCTCAGGAGCTCCTCCTTGTTTCTTCAAAGACTGGAAGTAAAAAGTTGTGTTTACAGCACAACTTCAACACCATGCCCACTAAATTATGTTCCTAATTGCATCATCTACATGTTTCTTGAAGGYTGCTAGAGATGGTGACTCCACCACTTCCTAGAGCAGCCTGTTTCAGTGCTTCATCGCTCTCCTCATGTAGAAACTCTCCCTAACGTCTAATCTGAACGTGTCTTCATGCAACTTGAGGCCATTTCCTCCTGTCCCATCTGTAGTTATTTTGGAGAAGAGGTCGGCCCCTGCCTCACTACAATTTCCTTTCAGGTAGTCATAGAGGGCGATAAGGTCTCTCCCAAGTCTCCTTCTCTCTACACTAAATAACCCCAATTCCCTCATATGTTCCTCATAAGGTCTGTGGCTCCAGCCCTTTCACCACCTTTATTGCCCTTCTTTGGATATGCTCCAGCACCTCAATATCTTTCTTATAGCGAGGGTCCAAAACTAATTATAGTGTAGGTCTGTTTCCTGAGTTAATGCCTCCTGAAGTGAACTCAAGGCTAGGTAGACCATAGCAAGCTTGGAGGTGAGGATGTAACCCAAAACTGCCCTGACAGGATACGTAAGGTTTGGGCTGTGAAGGATCTAGTGGTTTTCTCTAAACTGAGTCAAAATGCAGAAGTAATGCACACAGCAATCTTTCTGGAAGGCTAAAGTAGAACTCATCATGTTATCTCTCTTGGACTTATTTGGCCTTTTACCTGCATCTTTGTGGTAATGTCTGGAACACATATTGGGTAGTGCTCTTCAGCTGTATAGAAAGGCTCACTTGGGGCAGCCTTCTGGGAAGATCGTTTAAGTTAGCTCAGGAATCCATTGAAGTGAGAGCCTCTCTTGGTAGAGCAGGGTTAGGGCTCTTCCTGTCTCATCAACAGATTGAAGGCAATGATGTGGAGTGGAAGAGCTTGGGCTAAATTCCAAGCTAATGTATGGCTATATATAGTAATACCACTGAATTAACAGCAGTGGGATTTATGGACTACTTCTTGCTTCTAGTAGTGGTAGAAAGCTTAATAAGCCCCATCCTGTGTCCCGATATGAGAATGAATTTATGGGGTGGGGAGAAAGACCTGGAAAAGAGACTTGAGCTGTATTCACCAGAACATTGTATTTTGACACAAACAGTTTTGKTCTTTGCCATCACAGCAGCTGAATCTGGCCCTGGTATTCAATTGAAGGGGGAAAATATCATTATATTYATTCATAATTTCCAGGGATAAGGTCTTTAAGTGTGGAAAAGGGCATTTTCTTGCTGCTTAGGCTGTCTTGGGGCTGAGTTCTGCCTGTTTGGATTGATGCATTGCACTAAATTTGGCTCAAGTTGCAAGTGAGTGTTGTAGTATTAAGTTAGAAGTGTTTTGTAGGGGCATTAAAAAAGTGTTCTAGAGGGTTTATGACACTGTGCCATTACATACTRCTGTGTAGAAGTTGAATAAGAAATCAACTGAATGAGCTGTGCTATTCACTTAAGGTTTCCTAACTTATGAATAATTTTATCACCCTAGGCACAAGAATTGTAAAGGTTTTATAAGCATCATTAGGGTGCATTTATCAGTATTTGCATGTCTTAAAGGGAGAAAAAAGCTAGTAGGGCTGTACAGTCAGACTTTCAAAACTGGAAAAGATGAGTCACTTCTGGGTTCTTYTTTTCTTTGCGCAGAGGTTGCTGGCCTGTGTTATGAGATGCAGATCTCATTTATCTTTTCTTGTAAGAGGAGAATAAATATTGGCTAGTATTACACTAACTCCATGTCTTTCCTGGTTGAGATTTCCTGTGTTTCACGGAGCCATTACTCATTGGTAGTATGTGGGTATTCAAGTACTATGGAAGGAACCTCTCTTCCCTTTCTCTCCTGTCCTCCCTGTTCACACAGTTATGCTATTTTGAAGGATATATTGCTGCTCTGCTCTTGAGTCACAACAGCAGAAGCAGGTTCTCCCTGTGGGCAAGGGCTGGAGGATGTTGAGCTGCACTTTGTCAGGCTCTTCCTCATACCTGCCAATACCAGGAACAGGAGAGAATGGAATCTAGGACTGTTTCGTGGAGGGAAGATTTGGAAAAGGTCCCAAGCCCTTTTGTGCATCCCCTCTAGGCTAGTCCTCTTTTGACATCTACCCATGATGTACAATTTTCCTATTTTTTTCTTGTTTGTCCTATCAGGATGTTTCCTTGCCCACACACTCCCAAAATCAGCTCTGTGTGACCCATTTGCTTTGTTTTCTCTGCGAATGAGCTGTCTACAATTTGCCTAACAAGTCTCTTCACACTTGCCTTTTTCCTTCTCCTTAAGTTTAGACATCCATTTTTTTTTTTGTCCAGACCTAGTCTACCGGGCATGCACATGATCTCTTAAGTTGTCTCTTTCTCAAAAACTTTTCTTATGAGTTGAAGACTTAAAGTTGCAGAATTTTTGCTTGGTCATGAGTAGCAGAACCACTAAGAGGTGGCCTTCTTGCTCTCAGTTCTTAAAATTTTATTTTCTCCCACTGAAAATATGAATTAGTAACCAGAGAGTATGGCCCAGAACTCAGTTGTCTGAACAAGGCTGAAACATCCCCAAGCTGAGATATTTTGGATAAAAATATTTTAAAATATTGTTTTGTCACTTACCATATTTCCTCTTCAAACTTCCTTTTTGAAAAGGTCTGAGGTTCCTCTGCGCGCAAAAAAAAAAAAAAAAAAAAAAAAAAAAACCGCTCAAAGCTTTATTTTCACCTGTCAGATAAAACTAAATCTCTAGCAATCATTGCCTGGAAATGTTACTATAAACAATGATTTCAGTGTCTTGTTTTGAGATGCTGGGCAATCTTCCACTTCAGATGGCATGGGTAAAGTATGGGCTTCAGTTTGCAAAGCACAGTCTGCAAAGAACATACGTAGGTAAAATTTTAGAATTTGAACTTGGCAAGAGGATTAGCATTGGAGAACGTGCCTAGTGTTTAAGTGTGTTGAAGTGCAGGAACAGGTTGTCCAGGTCCACTGCGGTCTTTGCTGTTGGTCTGGCCTGTTTTTGAGCAGGCTCAGTTATCTCACCCTTGTCTTCTAGCACAAGTGATACCTGCTTGCCTCTGAGGTAGTTTCCAGCCTTTGGGATCAGTGGAATTATAAATAYGTAGTCCTGCAAGCGGTTGTGCTGAATACTGTCCAGTCACTTGGACAGCAAAACTACAGTGTGTGCATCATAATGAGCCCTGGGCTGCAGGGCCTTAAGCTTCTGAGGATGACTATGTAGCTTTGATAGCTTCTCTGAAAGAAGTAACATCCYGTATTGCACTGATCTTCCCTCTTTTTTTGTTTGAATGAATAAACTGTGTAAAAACATGACTCATTTTTCATTCCTGATGAAAAGAAGTCTGTTTAAATGAAGTTCAGCCTAAAATACTGCAAATTGGTAACTTGGGATCAACTTCCACTGTGCATGTTACAGCTTTCTAGATGAAGAGTTATGGAAACTCCAGGAGAACTAAAATCAYTGCCAAGCTTGGAAGTTCAAGCATGTTTAGCCTATGGACATGCAGAAACATGGTACTTTGTCCTTAGGCTGCATAATGATTTGATGAAATCTGAAGAAGTTACTAGCAGGAATGCAAAAAAATACTAGTTGGATCCACTCTACATGCAGATTAGCTAGGTGATCACTGGTTATCATGCTTATCAGTGTTTCTCCTCTACTCTCTTGAACTTGTGGAGTTGAGGTCCCTGAAGCTGAGGCAAAGGAGCTTGGCCCTTGCTCAGAAAACACTCTCTGTAAGCAGGTGTTAGCTGAAGCAGGCTGCATCAACATGTCCTTGTGTGCCTCTTGCAGTACTGCATGAAAATTCCTCAGGCTATTGTATGTGGGAATTGAGCCTATTTCTTCTTAATACTTCTCAGAATGGCAGGTCTTATGCCTTGCTTGGAAGTGAGTGGTTCCTGGAGCATGTGTGTGTATGAGGGAAATATGCTGAGAAACAGACCTTCTGCCCTCATGTCCTGCCTTCGTTGTCTGCTGCTCCTCATCCACAGGACTTGGGAAGGTGGGGAAGCTGTGTGCAGTGCAGATACCAGGGCAGTCAGGAGCACATCTCCTGGGCATCCCATTTCGTT